TCTAATATCTTCAATCTAGAAGTGACTTCAAATAAGAAGGTCCATGATTACAGATTGCCGATGCAGGATTGACATGATTCTAGAGCGAAATTTTTTTATGGCACACGGGCAACGTTGCTAACTTCGCTCTGTCATTTGTTTCATTTAGATATCTGTTGCCTTAATTTACCCCTTATAAAACCCTTTAAGAAGAGGCTCTTTAAGGTTGGCGCGATAGTCTACATTATTATCATCTGAAGAATTTAGGATTTATAAGCAAATTTGTGAATATGACAAATAGGACTTCCTATTTTACAAAATCTGGAAATTCATTTGGCCCTTATAATATATAAAGGATTAGTTCTAACCTCCTTAAACTGCTCATCGTAAAGCATAATTTGAGAAATCTACGAAGTAGTTTCCATGGCAAAGCCCATCTATTTCCGAAATGATATATGACTTTTCTTACCCACTTGTCATAAGGTCCATTCTCCACTTTCTTTATAGGAACGTCCACATTACCATGTTGGATGTTAATAGCATCCAGCTGTATAAACAACGAACGTTCCACATATAAATTACGAGCTCTCTTCAAAAAATCAGGGAGCACTTGGTCGAAGAAATCCTTGTTTCTTGGGTGTAGACGCATATAGGATTGCTGTAAAAGGTAACCTCAATAACAAAAAGAAATTTAACCTTTTAGGCACTGTAATGCCAGAATATTAAATAAAGTCAATAGGAATAAAGCAAAGAGGAGGGAATGCTGTCAACAGTAGCAAGCAATGTTGCCTAATCCAGAAGAACATTCAGAGATTGATTGAGGAAATTGGAGCTACTCATGGCGCGCTATTCATGTGCCCACTTTATGTCTTTGGCAAAAATGTGACCCCTACAAGAGATGCAATGCTGAGCAGCCAGTCTATTAGACGATTTATTTAATGAGCAGTTTCATAGAGAGATACATAGTTTATCTGTTACGCATAGCTTTCATCAATCAGCGGTACTCAAGATAGTACTAATTTGTCTTAAGAGAATCATAAACTAAGATTCAAAGGGAGAGGAGTTTTATTAACAATCTTCGGGGAAATTACTCTAGATTAAAAGATAAGTTATAAAATAGATTTAAAAACAGATGTACAGGAGTGCAGCGTAATTTCACGTAAAAACGAGACGAATGTTCAACTACTTTTGAATCGAACATGGTATATTCATGTGGAGTGGCTTTTCCAACAATATATATGTAAAATAACTTAGAAAAACTACAACTATAGCAAGAACAATAATTTGCGTAGATGGGACCCCTTTCAGAAAACACCATATTTGGATTTGTTATGAAACTCCTGCTCACCACCTTTAATTACTTGGAAAGGTAAGTTAGCTGAAGAGAAATATATCTCATCCTCTAGGATGAAAGTTGGGTAACCACATCTTTCGTTCTCTCTTGTGGAACAAAAAGATTTCTCGGATAGACGTTTGCTTGTGACGACAACTGGGTAACTTGCCGTTATTAAACAGCTCAGTGGCTTGATGCGTATAGGATTCACTCACGTTTGACCAAGGTGCTTTTTGAGAATGAGTCTGTATACAACGGTCCAGTAAAAAAATGTATCCAGTACGTAATACAACAGAATGTTTTTGTAAGGTGGTTAAAAGAAAGCGAACAATAAAAACCACGAGATGAACAAATTACCTAAAGTCGCGAAGGTTAGAGCAGCATTGGAGGATAGAGAACACATGTCGCTTTTTTACGATGTCACGAAGCCACTTATCTTATAAATCCTTGTCTGAAAATATTTGTATAAGTTTAGCCTTTTTGTCAGCCCCTTGCCAATTGTCTATCATTCCTTCATGTGCCACAAGGTGTTTACCAATGGAAAGCATTCAAATGTGAAGGTGTCGGAATGAAGTTCGAAATGTTTCTAGCTTTTGATAATTTAGATCTTCTTGTCTCTCGCTTATTGAGACCAGTATGTAGCATTAGCAAGCGTTCGTAGAAACAGCGATCAATCTAAAAATTTAAAAAGAAAGCTTTTGAGCAAGTGTCCACAAATCTGAGACTGCAAAAACGGTTCTTCATGATAGGCAACCTACAGAAATAATATTGGGTCCTTTCCAAAAATGCGGCCATGGCTAAATTTTAAAATGAGCAGGTTGGATAGGAAAATGTAAAAAATTTGACCAGGTTGAAAATAAATGACACATGGTTGCAAAAGTTACATGAAATAGCAAACGAAACATTTTTGTTCCTCACATAATCCAAAAGAAACAACTGCTTAGAAATTGAAGTGAAAAGTACTTTGTAAACATCTACTACTTTGAATTACGTTACTTTTTTGGATAAGGAATTACAGCGTGTTTTCATTCTGTTCAGCTTCAATTTTGAGACTTTGTTCACCCTAAAAATTATTGCATGTTAAACGAAAAGTTGCTGGATTTTTTTTCAGGCTGGAAAATATTTTGCACCTGGAGAAGATGCAATGCAACCATTAGGACGACCACCTTCCTTTAATGCACAGATAGCTCGTGGATGCCGCCTCCGAACCAGGATGGCACGAAGCTGGTATGCTTTTCGACCTGAACACGATTTTTCAAAATCTTTCCTTCAAAATAGCGATTAAGATCCGAGGAAGGAGCTATCACGAAAGGTCCGGGCTACACGAGAACTAAGGTAGGAATTTCACGCGCATTTGCTAAGCTCATACTCCACTTTCTCGTACGTACGGCCCATATTTATGACCTGTGAGATAACGCAGATGCGGAGTCAAACAATTTAGTCTTTTACATCGCACAAAAAGAAGTATTTGAAAAGGGATAGTAAGCTAAACTAAAATTTACATTGCGAACTAATTAACACAAAATTCAGGCTCAGCTCATGATGAACCTCATTACAACGACACCTGCTCTATCTCTATTTCCTTCACTACCACAACTGGAGCGCGATACATGCTGGAACAGCCATAATGGTAATGTTGGCCGAAAGGGGTATCTAAATAGACGAGATCGCTGTCTATGGAAACAAACGTCAAGGTGAGTGAGCATAACCGGAGTCAGATGAGAAATATAATGCTGTTTCTACGTGCATGGAATTCTTTGTAAAAAGGGATGCATACCTTTCTTTGAAAATCTTATTGATGTAAAAGTCAAGCTCCGTTATTATATGGTGTGAATTGAGCTTAGGAGGGTTTCCGCTGAGCAGAGATTTCTTAGATTTTCAAAGTCGAGTTTATACCTTCATTGTTGTGACAATAAAGATATTTAGATTAAATCAGACTTCACATTAACTCAGTCTTTGGAAGGAAAATTCAGCACGGACCCTACGACAGGCCTCGGCACGATCCCGGGTTGGGTCTTAAGAAGACATCTCTTAAAAATCCAGCAATTTGCAAAGCCTTCGTTACCAGAAACGCGTGCAAACAGGACATACACTGCACCGCTGTTTGCTTATAGCGCATTTTCTTCCTTGAAGCAAAACGGTTTAAAGCTAACTAGGAAGGGTAGAAGTGCTTTCAGGCCTCGACATGAGGTCTCCGTTTGAACTTACAAGAACGAATACCCGGTTAAAAATCCAGTAAATTACGAAGTCCTCTTTGTAACCTGTACAAACGCGTACAATCAAGACAAGCACTGCAGTACTGTATACTTGGAGCGCGTTTTCTTCATTAAGGTAGAAAGATTTAGGGCCCTAGCAAAGAAGTCAGAAAGTGCTTTGATCTGGGTATTGCGCTGTAAGTTGCATTAAGGGGTGCACAAAAAGTGTTTGCTATAAGGAACGCAAAATTATGAGAAACAAAAAAGTGTTTGCTAATCGAAGGCTTGAGGTCATCCTAGATCTCCGCCGGAGACCTAAATCACAAAAAGGTACGGCGATTTTCCCCTTCTCATAATATTTCAAAGATTTTAATTTTTCAAAGACTTTTTGTTCTGCATCTTTGTGCCAATTTTGGTGGGTGTTTAT